CTTCAGAGAGGTAATGTGAGGTTTCCAGGATAACCTACGGTCAAAGAGGAGGCCTAGAAACCTGACTGTATCGCGTTCAGGGATACAGGAGCCATAGAGGTACAAAGGATGATCGGAGATGACAGAGCATCTAGTGAAAGTAATTTGGCGAGTTTTGGTACTGGAAAATTTAAACCCATGTGTGGTGGCCCAATTGGAAACACGGTTGACCGCATGTTGGAGAGAAACTGTAATGAGGTGACAGTCAGCGCCTGCACATGGCATCAATAGCAAAGTCATCAACATAGAGTGATGACCAAATACTGTATTGGATGGAAGACTAGAGGCCAAATCATTTATAGCAAGGAGAAAAAGTGTTGTGCTCAGAACACATCCCTGGGGGACACCTTCAGCTTGGATAAAGTCCGGGGAGAGCACATTATTAACCTGAACACGGAAATGCCTGTCAGTTAAAAGGTTCTTAAGGAAGGATGGTAGATTGCCTCGAAGGCCTAAGAAGTGGGCTTTGGCCAAAATATTATACCTCCAAGTTGTGTCATATGCCTTCTCAAGGTCAAAAAATATGGCAATAACCGAGTGGTTATTCGCAAAGGTATTACGAACATATGTATCCAAGCGTAGTAAGGGGTCTATGGTAGAACGGCCTTAACGAAAGCCATATTGACGAGTGGAGAGACTGTTGTGTGTCTCTAAATACCACACTAAACATAAATTTACCAGGCGTTCCATCACTTTGCAAACTGCACTGGTAAGAGCAATGGGACAATAGTGGGAGGCTTCATGTCCCGTAGTACCCGGTTTTGGGGAAAGGGAGAACAAGGGGCAGATTTCCACAGGTGGGAAAAGAACTCCCTGTACCAAATAAATTAAAAGGCATAATAGGACTGCAAGGGCTGACTGATGTAAATGTTGCAGCATACAATATAATGTCTCGAGCCCACGCCATGATCGGCAAGCGAAGCATTGCCCCAGTTCCAAAGTGAAAAGGCACCTTATACTGTTTTCTCTGAGAGAAGAAAAGTCCAAGGTGCAAATCTGGCATACTTTGAGGAAAGAAACGAGGGGCAAATACCCCTGAGAAAAGGGACCAGATGATTCCCCAATTTCTTTGGGCAACACTAGTGGGTTTCTAAATCAACCCACAACCCCAGAACAGGAGCGGGTCAGAGAATTTTACCCTCTTTTTGTACTTTTTTCCAGACTGCACTCACAGAGGAAGCGGGGTGATGGTGGAGACAAAATCCGCAGCAAGTGAGTTTAGCGCACGGACGACACACAGCGCACATGCTCTGCTTAAAATCAAGAAGTCTCTCCGTATTCTATTGTACGGGTACCTGCCTCACGCAGGCGTTCAAACTACCGCCGAGCACAACGGGAGGCCACCAAGGCACACTTTTCTGGAATCCCCCCGAATTTTGGGGGTATAGAAGAAAACTGGGGTTAAAACGAGGACAATGAGTTGTAAAAGCTCATCAAGGGAACGAAGAAGAAACCTCACTAAAAACATTAGGTGAAAAAGGGTTCCCAAATTTGCCTATCAAATTGCCGGCGTGGGTTACGAAGAGGGGGTGAATAAAAGGGGGAAGTAAAATGATTGGGAAAGATCCTGTCATGTAAACCCGGGAGAACAGACCGGGTGAAGTCTAATCGGCGGGGGGAAAGCAGATGAGAGATCGATGTAAGAAGTACGAGTCCGAGGAAAAAATGGGTGTGATACTTTTTTTAAAACAGGAGGGGGTGGGTACAAGAAAAGCCCTAACTGAATCCCCCGGGAATCCAGTGAGACCCCCCCCCCCCCCCAAGGGAAAAGATGGGGGATTAAAATCGCCAAAACAGGAATTACGGCGGAATGGGAACAAAAAGGCAAAAACTGGGATAGAAATGCCCGAGAAGGAGGAGGTCAAAAAACAAGTGTATACTCCCCATGCAAGGGAAAAGGGCGCTGTGTAATGCACGAAGTACAACAAATGCTGATGTTTTGGGAAAATTTATGCGAGAAGGGCATTTCATAAAGGGGCCCCTCAGAAAAGGATCTAAGAATACAAAAATTATAGCCTAAAAGGATAGATAACGGCAGAGTGTAATTTTGGTTCCCCGAAGCAAAAACCACAGGGGGAAAACTGGGAGAGCAATATCTAAAGCTCACCCCGATTACCCCTGAGGCCGCGAATATTCTACTGTAAACAGGCCATGATTGGCAACGATAAAGATACCTGAAATCCGCAGGTAAGGGTACCTATGGACTAGAGGGGTTAGAAAAGTCCACATGCGGTGGCAAAGGAAAACGTTCAAGTAGCGAAGGAACGGTGCGTTGTGAAGAAAGGAGTTGTGCAGATGGAGAAGAGGAAAGAGAAGGAATAGAGGGTGGATCAGTGTCCATTGATGGTTTGGTCTCTGCAATATATTCAGAGATTGCTTCAAGTGTTTCGGAGTTCAGAGACGTCGTATGGGAGACAATATTGGAGATGGAAGGAGGAGGAGTTTGAGTAAAGATCAGAGCTGTAATGGACTGTACCAAGGTGGGGGGGAAAGGGTGGAGGGAACTGGAGAAGTGTGGGAGGGGACAGAAGAGGCAGAAACCTGGGAGGTGGCAGAAGAGGAAGAAACGTGGGAGAGGACAGGGGAGGAAGGCACAGTACGAGGAGGAGGATGAACCTCCACACTTGTAACAGAGCCAGTGAAAGGGCAAGACTCAGGTACAGAGACCGGGAAGGTAAAATGTGGAGGTGGATGAAGAGAAGGAAGGGGTAAAGGAGATTTTTTGGACCTCTGAGAAGTAGAGGGACGATTGGGAGGAGGTGTCGTACGAGGTCTTGTCGATACCGGGGTTTGTGAGGGAGGACACGAAGAAGTGAGGACAGACTGAGGAGTTGAAGTAGGGACGTCTGAGCCCAGGACAGCAAAAGAATTAGATACAGGAGTGACTATGGGACTGGCAACCGCAGAGGAGGCTGCAGATGATGTGACCCCAGAAGTGGGGGTACACTTTGAAACACGAGAATAAGAAACACGGGGCAGTCTCCCTTGGAGGCGGAGATGAGAAACCGCCATAGCATAAGGGAGGCCTTCTGCCTCTTTGAGGCAATGAATTTCCCGCTCATTTAAGTACACTTGGCAATGGCGAGAGTGCGAAGGGTGAGCCTCATGACAATTGAGGCAAGAGGGAGTTCGACTGCAAGACGTATTAGAATGGTCATCGGCACCCCAGACTGGGCATTCGGCTATAGATCTGCAATATTTTGCTGGGTGGCCAAATCGCCAGCAATTCCTACACTGTTGCGGTGTAGGGATCACCTTCCGAACTTGTAACCGATGTCCTGCTACATAAACAGAGGATGGGAGTTCGTGGCTGTCAAAAGTTAAACGAGCCACATTGCAAGGGTATCATCTTCGCCCGCGGGCAGGAAGAACATAAGTGTCTACCTTGAGAATTGGGAGATCTTGGAGTTCCAGCCATTCGAGAATGTCAGTGCCACATGTCTGGAAATTCTGTTGGACTATGGTATGGGGCAGAATAACAGTACCACTACAAGAATTGAGGGAATGATGTTTTTTGATAGTGATAGGAATAGCATCGATATGTGAAAGAAGAGAAAGATCATGAGCTTGAGTAGAATTCTGGACCGTGATGATGCGCGTACCACTCTTAAGAGCATGAAAGGAAATATCTCTACCAACGTGGCGTAGGAGCGCTTTGCCAATACTATGGTCGGAAAGATAGGCAGTAGAAGAAGTCTGTCTTAATGTAAAGAATTTAGTCCATTGTGTGGTCTGAAACTGAGTGTGGAGAGGGGGTGCATAATGTGTCGGTCTTTTCCGAGTAGAAAGGGAAGGTAACGAAGTAACATCATTAGGAGATTGTCGTTGACGTTTAGAAGTGGGACCAGAGTCGGTCCAACGTGGGACGGGCTGGCGATTCGAAAATCGCCGCACCGTAGAGGGAGAAGCCGGAAGCATAGTCAAAGGAGAGCGGAGGTCAGACAAATCGAAGGAGTCAGTGGAAGCCCCGGTACCTGAAGCGGTTGAGGAAACAGCACCAGCAAGAGGTACAGGGGCCTTGGGAATGTCCGAAGAGTGGCCAAAAGACGAGGCGAGGTCAGAACGGGTTGCGGTAACAATAAGGGGCCCGGGGGTAGCGGGGTCATGGATAGGGTACTCCATGGTTAGGTTACTTCTTTCTGTTTGTTTTTAAGATAAAAAAAAAGAAAGAAAAGAAAATAAAAATAAAAAAAAGAATAAAAAAAGGGGGGACCGGGGAGGGATAGTTCCTAGGAGGAATGAAAGGGCCAGAAATCTCCCTCCTCACCCAAGAGAACCTCAGCACTGCAAGTAGTGCAGATGCAGCATGGAACCCGTGCCATACCCTACCCATCATGCCAGTAAACCAGCAATCCGGGATAGCAACCTCACATCTGCCGAGCTACCTCGGTGGACAAAAGAGAGGGCGGCCGGATATCCGCCACAAAGCATACCTCCTTTGGCCACCACCCCCGGAATCCAAAAGGCAGCCTCAAGAGATACACCCATCGCCCAAAAGATACCCAAAGCCACTCCCCGGGAGACCGGAGAGGGATTGGGACATCCCCAGGCGATCCAGATTCCACGGCAAACTACACCACCGCCAAGAACCTCAACGGAATGGGATGGACCCCAGTACCCTTTACCCTACCCAGGAACTAGCGTGCCTGCGGGGGGAAAAAAAAAAAAAAGAGGAAGGGTAATAGGGAGGGGTGGGGAGGAAGAGGAGGAAAAGAAAAAGGGAGGATGGGATAAGGGAGGGGGGATTGGGGGGTAATTAGGTTCGGTCTGAGGAAGGAGACCAACAGGTCTAATTCCTCAGACCAAGAGCCTCTTCACCATGCCAAGGAGCCCCCCTTGAAGAGGTTTCAGGCAATAATTTGTGAATGTCTTATCCAATTGGATTCAAACCTTCAACACTAATCTTTCTTACATGAAGCTTTGAACTGTTTTTGGACTGTGTAGGTGCCTGTATAAAAAATCTGTTTCTCTCTCTGCTGTACCTGCCCTAGAACTCAGATGTGCATACTGCAGTTTTTTTAAAAAAGCCTTCACAGAAAATTTATTAATAGTTTAAATGAGTTTTCAAATAATGCTATAGCAGTGATGAATAAAATAAACATTAAATGATTTACATAGCATCAGCATTCGTATCATTCACATTCTTTGATTCATTCAGTGTACTCCGAAGCTCCTGCTTTTGCACTTCTGAATTATTAGCTTCCTTTTCTTCCAAATTTCCCTTACATATTTCATCATCTTTAGTAACACTCTCTTTAGTCTTATCTGCTAGTATCCCTAAGTTATATTTAGCATATTTCGTGAAATATTCAGGTAAAAAGCTGAGGCAACAGATTTTTTTGATCACATCAACATTAAGAACAACTTCTGGATACTTTAAGTCTGGTGTATTTTTGGAGTTTGCATTTTCAATAATTTTTATTAAGGAAGTAGTTAATTGCTCACGTGTTACAGAATTGTTATTTCTAATTTTGATGACCACATAGAAAGTTTTACTTTCTTTTTTAAAGTAGGATTGCGCCAATTTCTCCACTGCTTTCTCGATGTCCTCATGAAAGGCTTTACATGTTTTCTGAACAGGAATCATGCGTAACAGTCTTTTTGTTCTTCGTTTTTGATTTTCAATGATGTCATCCATTATAGCAACAGACAGAGGCAAAGGATCCTCTAATGTTGTACGGATAAACACGCAGTTTTTTGCTCCACAATTTACTTGCTGGAATCTTCTTGGGTGTTTATGATCTTTATTCTTCTTTTGAAGCTCCAATACATCTGCCTGCAAAGGCAAAAAAAAATTAAAAAAAAAAAAAAAAAAAAAAAAAAGGCATTTAATTTATCTGTAAGTACAGTACTTAGGAGAGCTAGTTTCAAAAGCTTACATAATAAATGAACCAACATTTCTGCAGACTTTTGTGTGTTCTTCACAACCCCTTTATATGTACTTGCCTAAACTATGAAAATACAATCAGCTACACATTTATTCAACCAAATGCCTTCAACTTTTGCTCTCACATTATTATCACTTCCAAATAAAGTGGAACCTTGACTTACGAGTTTAATCCATTCCTTGACCTAGCTCATAACTCAATTTACTTGTATATCAAATCAATTTTCCTCATTTAAATTAATTGAAAAGCCATTAAACCGTTCCTGCACTCCGGAGACAAACAAAATACTTGAATATGACACTAATATCAACTGTACAGCTTATTTATCTATCACAAATCATCTAATATGACATAATAAACACAGAAAAGTATAGTAGTACCAACACTCTTATATGGGTGTGAAGCTTGGGTGGTAAATGCAGCAGCGAGGAGACGGTTGGAGGCAGTGGAGATGTCCTGTTTAAGGGCAATGTGTGGTGTAAATATTATGCAGAAAATTCGGTGTGTGGAAATTAGGAAAAGGTGTGGAGTTAATAAAAGTATTAGTCAGAGGGCAGAAGAGGGGTTGTTGAGGTGGTTTGGTCATTTAGAGAGAATGGATCAAAGTAGAATGACATGGAAAGCATATAAATCTATAGGGGAAGGAAGGCGGGGTAGGGGTCGTCCTCGAAAGGGTTGGAGAGAGGGGGTAAAGGAGGTTTTGTGGGCAAGGGGCTTGGACTTCCAGCAAGCGTGCGTGAGCGTGTTAGATAGGAGTGAATGGAGACGAACAGTACTTGGGACCTGACGATCTGTTGGAGTGTGAGCAGGGTAATATTTAGTGAAGGGATTCAGGGAAACCGGTTATTTTCATATAGTCGGACTCGAGTCCTCGAAATGGGAAGTACAATGCCTGCACTTTAAAGGAGGGGTTCAGGATATTGGCAGTTTGGGGGGATATGTTGTGTATCTTTATACGTCTATACTTCTAAACTGTTGTATTCTGGGCACCTCTGCAAAAACAGTGATTATGTGTGAGGTGAAAGTGTTGAATGATGATGAAAGTATTTTCTTTTTGGGGATTTTCTTTCTTTTTGGGTCACCCTGCCTCGGTGGGAGACGGCTGACTTGTTGAAAAAAAAAAAAAATACTACATACCTTTACAGCAGCCTCTACATCCAGTGCATCATCATCGCTGTCACTAGCATTATTATCCGAAGGACCCTGAGTTTTCAGATCATTTTCATGTTTTCCAGTCTCTTTCCTATTTTCATTTGCCAGTTTCTCTTGGGTATCATTAGTTTTCTGATCTGTAGTACAGTCTACCTCACTATCTTCTATATTTTTCAAATTGCCATCTTCTTCCTGTTTTTTTTCTGTAATAGAATAAAAGAAGCTGGTACAGTATCTCATTTATTAATGACAAGTATTGAAACATATTTCCCAGAAACACACAAACAGATAGAGTGGGTGTACTTTTAAGATTTGTCTGGTGTCACAGATGAACAGCCAGTCTAAAAGTGCCTACATAAAAGGGCAAGTATTACTGATAACTAGCCCATGAAAGGCAAAAGTTTTGGGAAATTATAAAAAAATAAAAAATGGATTTAATACTTTAACACACTGGCTATCTTCCACAGACAGAAGGTAACCCGAAAAAGAAACATTTTCACCACCATTCACGATCACTGACTTGCCAGAGGCATACAGATATGACAGTGCAGATGGTCCTCCAAACAGCAAATATCCCCAGCCCTCCTTTAGAATGCAGGCACTGTACTCCCCACCTCCAGGGCTCAAGTCCAGCAAACACGTAACAAAAAAATAATGGAAACGTAACGATTACAGTACTTGCACTCCCTTCAAATGAAACCAGTTAATAGAGCAACTCATGATCCCTTATGTGATAACAGATAATTCCTTATCTCAAAGAATCAACTCCCACCTCTCCATATCATGGCAGCTGAAAGCATTCAAAATCATGTAAAAAAAATATATAAAAATATTTCAATATCAGCTAAAACAGCCTATCCGTATTTATTATTAATATCCTAATATTTCTGTTAAAAATCACAACTATAATATACTACAGGTATTTATAAAACACCTAGGTAGTAGGCTAATAGACAGCAACTCCCCAGGGAGGTACTGCCGTCCTGGCAAGTAAGTGTAAAATGGAAGCCTGTAATTGTTTTACATGATGGTAGGATTGCTGGTGTCCTTTTTTTTCTGTCTCGTAAACATGCAAGATTTCAGGTACGTCTTCCTACTTCTACTTACACTTAGGTCACACTACACATGCATGTATACAAGCATATATATGTATATATACACATCCCTCTGGGTTTTCTTCTATTTTCTTTCTAGTTCTTGTTCTTGTTTATTTCCTCTTATCTCCATGGGGAAGTGGAACAGAATTCTTCCTCCGTAAGCCATGCGTGTTATAAGAGGCGACTAAAATGCCGGGAGCAAGGGGCTAGTAACCCCTTCTCCCGTATAAATTACTAAATTTAAAAAGAGAAACTTTAGTTTTTCTTTTTGGGCCACCCTGCCTTGGTGGGATACGGCCGGTTTGTTGAAAAAAAAAAAAAAGAAAAAAATTCAATATCAGCTAAAACAGCCTATCCGTATTTATTATTAATATCCTAACATTTCTGTTAAAAATCACAACTATAATATACTACAGGTATTTACAAAACACCTAGGTAGTAGGCTAATAGACAGCAACTCCCCAGGGAGGTACTGCCATCCTGGCAAGTAAGTGTAAAATGGAAGCCTGTAATTGTTTTACATAATGGTAGGATTGCTGGTGTCTTTTTTTTTTTTTCTCTTAAACATGCAAGATTTCAGGTATGTCTTGCTACTTCTTCTTACACTTAGGTCACATTACACATACATGTACAAGCATATATATACACACCCCTCTGGGTTTTCTTCTACTTTCTTTCTAGTTCTTGTTTATTTCCTCTTATCTCTATGGGGAAGTGGAACAGAATTCTTCCTCTGTAAGCCATGCATGTTGTAAGAGGCAACTAAAATGCCGGGAGCAAGGGGCTAGTACCCCTTCTCCTGCACAAATTACTAAATTTAAAAAGAAAAACTTTCGTTTTTTTTCTTGGGCCACCCTGCCTTGGTGGGATACGGCTGGTTTGTATAAAAAAAGCACATGCAAGATTTCAGGCAAATCTTGCTACTTCTACTTACACTTAGGTCACACTACACATGTATGTACAAGCATATATATACACACCTCTCTGGATTTTCTTCTATTTTCATACTAGTTCCTGTTCTTGTTTAATTACTCTTATCTCCATGTGGGACTGGAACAGAATTCCTCCTCCGTAAGCCATGCATCTCATAAGAGGCAACTAAAATGCTGGGAGCAAGAGGCTAATAACCCCTTCTCTTGTATACACTACTAAAGTTAAAAAGAGAAACTTTCGTTTTTCTTTTTGGGCCACCTTGCTTCAGTGGGATATTGCCGGTTTGTTCAAAGATGATGATTTATAAAACTGTATAACAAATACAAATATCAATCTTTATTGCCATACTTATTCACCTTAATATACTGCATTGTAAGGTAGTCTTTTCTCGCACCAAGAGTGACATATCTTCAGACTTTCATATTTCTTATTGTTCCTTGGCCACCTCAATTACAGATGCATCGAAATGTGGTTACTAATTTACTTGTTCATGGTTAACCCTTTGACTGTTTCAGGCCCCTTTCTGAAACTGTCATTCTATGTCACTCAATTTTTGAAAAAAAGAAAAAATAATTTTTTCTTATGAAATGATAGAGAATCTTTTCCCGATGGTAATGACACCAAAAGTTCGAAATTTGGTCGAAAATTCATGGAGTTATGCTCCCGCGAAGTTAGCAGTCTCGGCGACATATGCCTATCGGCGATTTCGCCGACTTTGAGCCATATTTTCAGCCAATTCCATTGTTCCAGTTGACCAAACTCATAGCTATTTCTTTAGAACTCCATTTTATCTATCAGCTGAGTACAAGAAACCTCCCATTTACTAATTTGGACTACCCAATATGGTGGTCAGAAATTGGCAATTTGGCCAATTTCACGCAAACTAAAAAAGATGCCAATTTCAAAATAGGGTCCAGAATAATCAAGGTAGACATTCGTGGCACTAAAATAACATGCTCTGTTCATTAGTCACATCTCTAGGCCCCTCTTATATTTTTATTGCTTTCTATTTTGATTTTTTATTCATACAAAAAAATACAAAATTTACTGTTATGCAGACTACTGCATTATTGTAAAAATGGTATAAATAATATCAGTGCACTAGTGAAAGAATATTGGACGTGTGGTGTGATTTATTTACTCCTGAACATTGGTAAAAATCGAACATTTCCGCTACTTTGAGCTCAGTTTCAAGGTCGTTTTCATCGTCAAAGTAATGAAAGTCATCTCTATTTCTGTAATATGTTTTCCATTTTATCACCTAAGACCATGAAAAAGCGAATACAAAGATAAATACTATACGAAAATACACCTCAAAGTTGGCGTTTTATTCCAAAAAAACGATCAGTTTTTTTTTTCTCATTACGCAATGTGTGCTGCAGGATTTTTTTTATGTGGTGCACACTGACCACACAGACCCATTCTCTCACATGTGGGCCTACCAGCTTTCTCCCGCTTGATTTGAATCCTCTAGAATTATTGAGTATATATACGTCAGAAACATTAGCTCGTAAGACGTATTTATACGTCGAAAACAGTCAAAGGGTTAATATGCTTCTAAAGGCTTATGTAACCTAGCCTAAATCAGTTTAACCTATCAGCTGATGGTATGGTAACATTAACATGATATGGATGATAAAGACATTAAAAGCATTTATAAATTTATAAATTTACCTAGCTTAAAGAAAATATGATTTGGAGAAAAACTGTAAAGGTTTAAAAACTGACATTGAGCACAATGTCAAAAACTGACGTTCTAAAATGAAGATGGGTTGAGAAAGAAAACTATCTTCAGAAACCAGTTGGCATTATGGTGGCCACCACCAGAATCCTGGATGTGGTCACCATTCACTTTAACGTGCCTAATGAGCAAAACCACGCAATGTAGACAATGGCTGAACTCACTGCTTATGTCAGCCATAATTCTCTTATTAAAAATGTTGCCTATCTCTACTCTCTTCCTAGCCTACCTGACATCACTACCCTGACCTCTCCTTACCTCACCCCTAGACCTTTCCTTTGATGCTACTTTGGACCTTTCTATGACTTCTCTCTCTTGAGCTTAACATAGTGCTCATTTGTCTTATAAAGCAGTGTCTTTGTTTCTTGAATAATTGACTAAGTGCAGCCCTGGACAAACTGCTGTAGCAGTAATAAAAGTTTCCCCGCAACAAGGTCTCATTTTATCTACAGAACCAGAGCTCAGCTCACTGTGTCCCATCGTTGATTAATTTATATCCTTTTATAATCTTAAATGTCTTCACTTTTAAGATATATGTAGGAATCTTTTACAACACTGACCAAGTTTTGGAAAAACAAAACACAGTTTAAATATCTTACTGCAGACATTCAAAGCACACTGAGCATCATAACTAGATGAAGATTACACTTTTAGTATTGGATTGCAAGCACTCCAAAACTTGTCAAGGTCATCCAATACACTGTAAAGTTTTCATCAAATTCAGCTGCTAACTTTGTTAACTAGTCATCTTTGTTATATTACACACCACATTACATCTTTTCAAATCGTATGTACACCAAGGTGTAGTAGTTTTAAATTAAAACTTTTTACTTTTATTTAACTGTTAGTTTAATACCTATTCACTTTTATTCCAAACTTTTACGTACTGACCCTAAAGTACAGTAGTTTGAATTTTAATTGTTTCATATACATACTACAAAATTATAACCAATATTATTACAGTACTACTTTATTAGTAAAGTTAATATACAGTATCACATTATTATTATTATAATCAAGGGGGAAGCGCTAAACCCGGAGGATTATACAGCATACAGTATCACAAAACCTTAGTTTAGCTTTACTTCTGCTCAAAATGATGTGCATGTTTTGGGCTATTCAAACATAATAGCCAATTTTAACTGCACATATAATAAATGTAATTATGCATTGTTTAGAAATATGTACATAATTATTTATTTTCAAATAGTGTATATTTTTTTTCCAAATAGGCTACTTGTGATGAATAGTTTTGAAAACCGACAAGTTGAACAATTGAGACACTTATGCAACATATGGGAATCTTTATTGAAGAAACGTTTCACTACACAGTGGCTTCATCAGTCCAAAACAGAGCAGGAAGGTATAAGGAGAGGAGTAGTTTGAGGTAATCAGTCCCTCAGCCTGGGATCAATGTGTTCAGTCCATTACTCCTGTAGGAAGTACATGTACTTCCTACAAGAGTGATGGACTGAACACATCGATTCCAGGCTGAGGGACTGATTACCTCAAACCCCTATTCTTCAAATAGGCTACTTAATGTGCACTAAAAATCCTAATACTGTTACTGTATCTTAAATTCAATAATTCAGGAACTTAATATTTGTTATATACTTAATAGTAAACATAATAACAACACTTGATCCTTACCAGTAAAGTCTTCTTTTCCATATATTTGATCAGCAAACTCATTTAGGACATTATATGCTTCTCTTACACAATCCCGCTCATGTTCATTGCACGTACACATGAATCCTGCCATGTCAGGACCAAGGAAGTTTTCATGCTTCTTCTGTCTTTTTGCTGACTGTATGTAGTATCCTTTAGATCGTTTGTTTTTTCCCATGTTTATAACACCTGTAAGTGGAAAAAAAAATTTTTTCATTTTTGTTTCTCAGATTTGTACCTTCTACCTTGCTGCGGGAGACAGCTCTATATTAAAAGAATGGAAGCTAACCTATTTTTCCTTAGATTAAATCTGATTGCCTCCCATTCTCCAAGTGCTATAAGGACCCCTACACCTGTAGGGGTCATAACATGTTTTCCATGTCACAGAAACAGTGGATACACATTTTGTCTTAAATGACTTATTGGTGGTACAGTATCAATAATTAACTGTAGTTTTTAAGGTAAGAGGATATAAACAAAATGGGTGTCATTATAACTTAATCAACAATTTTACTGCAGGTCTAGGTTATACTAGGCTCTATCCTGTATTTAAAATATAACCAATTCAATTGCACATTCACTTGTTAAAAAAGAATTTAAAAAAAACAAATTTTTTTTTTCCTTTTATTCCCCCTTAAAAAAATTTTCCAAAATAAATTTTTTGACGCAAAAGATAAATGGTTGTTATTTATTAAATGTTAAGGGACTTCTGGTTTTGGGAAAATTAAAAAAAAAAAAAAAGAGTACAAAGACAAATTTTTTTTTTTCATTTAAAAACATAAAACCAAAGAAAGCCAAGCAGGTTTTTTTATTTCCATTGAATTTTTGGGAAAATTTTTAATTAAAAAAAGTCAGAACATTTGACTACACTGAGTCATGTTTGTTAAATCTAATAATGTACTACTTATATGAAGTTTTTAATTTATGGGGGCCGCTAAATCACGATTTAAAAACGTTTGGGAAAAAAAGGGGTTAAAATTCAGGGAAATGTGGGGAGTTTTCAATTCCCCTAGACCAAGGGGCCAAAAAATTTGTTTGGATCATACAGCCGACACACAGCAGAGTTACTAGCTTTTTGTTTTTAAAGGGACTCATTGTTTCACGAAAATTTACTGCTAGGTTTAAAAAACAAGATTTTAAAAGGACCCCAATGAAAATAATCACTAGACTTTTTTTTTTGGGTTATCCAGGTAATTTCACTTTACTATTTGAAATTGTACTTGTGTAATTTGAAGAATGACACTTGGGAAACTGTACTGGGGAAAACGTTTTGTTATCAGGGGGCGAAGAACCTCGAGCTGGCGAACGTTTCCCAAATAATTCTTAAGTGTTGTTAACTGCTCCAACTAGTGGGGTTTTCTAATCTTTTACATAAAGGTACCTATAAAAACTTATTTGCGGGAGAGAGTATCTTCCAAATAGTGCAGCTTGCATAGAGGATTCTCTTTCCCCGGGACTGCACTGGTATGAGGGAAAGCGATTACTTGATTCAGGGATGTTTGTAGTCAGTGCAGTGCCCTGGGAGAGTACTCAGACTGCTGGGACCCCAACCCCTGTAGAAACTATCATTTTTCAAGTGTGGGGTGGTGGAAGACGTTTTAATACCAAAAATTTAATTTTTATAGGGGGCAGGAAGAAGATAAATTATGGAATATCACAGTCACTAGCGAAATTATGATGAAACAAATAGACCGACTGAAACAAAATAAATCGCCGAGTCCTGATGAGTTTTTTTCAAGGGTTCATTAGGAATGCAAAATGGAACTCTGTGAACCATTAACTAATATTTTTAATTTATCTCTTCTACAGGTGCGTTCTGATATGTGGTAGATGGCTAATGTAATTCCTGTTTTTAAAGCAGGGGACAATTCGTTACCATCAAATTATCGCCCAATAAACCTGACCTGTTGATAAATTAGACACATGTGCAACTCTTGGGTATCTTTATTGAGGAAACGTTTCGCCACACAGTGGCTTCATCAGTCCATACAAAGGAGAATCTAAAAAACAGGAGGAGAATGAGGTAACACCCTCAACCTTGGGACACGCCTACTTAAAATTTGAAAAAATGTTACACGACCAAGACTGCTGCACCCCCCGGGGAAAAAGGTTTATAAGCTCCTTCTCGCCGTACCGTATTTTTATCAAGATTTTATGGACTGACCCCACGACTCAAAGTTGAGGGACGATTAACTATTCTCCTCCTGTTCTTCAAGATTCTCCCTTTTTAGGACTGAAAAGCCACTGTGTGGCGAAAAGTTTCCTCAATAAAAATACCCAAAAGTTGACAGTGTCTATTTTTCAAATGTCGGTTCTCTGAAAACCCTTATTACAAACCTGACCTCAATTGTAGGAAAATTCTAAGCAATTATAGTATATTAAAAAAAACCTCTGGATAAGCATAATACGATTAAGATTCTCAGCATGGATTCACGAGAGGCCGTTTGCTAACTAATTTATTAACCCTTCTCAGTAAAGCTTTTGAGGTGTTTATCACGAAAAGAATTCGATACGTTTTTTTAATTTTAGAAAGCTTTTTATAGAGTACCGCACCCGAAGTGTTAAAGAGAGGGATCTTTGGCATTGGGAAAAAAGGCATGGATCGAGTCATGGCTCACAAAAAGGAAACAGAGAGTGTGCGTAAATGGGGTTAAACCCCCAGTGGGGATCTGTAACAAGGGCATACCACAGGTCAGTCTTAGGCCCGTTTTGTTTATAATATATATCAATGACATTTTATGAGGGGAAAACTATGATATAGCAAAATTGCCGATGACACGAGAAGGTAGGGTAATTGATTCAAACGTAGATGTCAGGAACTTCACAGGATTTTGACAAAATCAATTCCTGGTCAGAAAATGGCAGATGTATTTTAAAAGTAGATAAAGGGAAGGGTTTTAAACTCGGGAAAAGTCCTAACCCTAGCATTAGCACTAGAACTTAGCCATACAGCTTTCGAAAAGGACTTGGGTTTGGTAAGCACCCTTAAACCAAGACAAAGCCTAAGCGTAGGTAATAAGGCAAACAGATTATTGGAATTTATATCAAGAAGTGTAAGCAACATTATTATAATTATTATTATAATCAAGGGGGAAGCGCTAAACCCGGAGGATTATACAGCGCCTGGGGGAGGATGTGGAAGGCATTCAGGCTTAATTCGGGGAACTTTTCACAAAATCCAATTCCCTAAACAAGAGCCCCTCACCAACATCAAGGAACCTTCCTTGAGGGGAGTGTATGCAACAGAAGTCCATCATTAGTAAGGCCTCACTTAGTTTACGCAGCTCAGTTCTGGTCTCCATATTACAGAATGGATATAAATTCGTTAGAAAACATTCAACGAAGAATGACAAAATGAATTCATAGCATTAGAAATCTTCCGTATGAAGAAAGATTGAAGTCCTTTAAATTACATTCACTTGTAAGACGAAGACTGAAGGGGTAAGTAAATAATAAATAAGTTTATTCAGGTATACACAAATCAGTTACAAGAAATTTTCAACATAGCAGCATAGTGTAGAGAACCCAGAAACCCCCAAAAAAGCAACAGATGACTTATTTTTTCATTGGGGTCCTTTTACCTTATTATTATAAAAAAAGGTTATAATATTTTTTTATTTTTCTACATGAAAATAAATGTTTTTACAACTACTCACGAAGGTCATTAAGACACACAATACAGGGGTTCATTACTAGGGAAAACGGTTTAAAATTTACCGATGTTAGCTAAAAAATAGAAAATATTCCCTCCCTTTTTGTAGTACATTCATAACACCTTTTTGGACCTTCTTAACTGGTTCATGCTATGACTGGCTTTGACAGTGAGGCAGTCTGTTCCTTCCTTTATTGCTGTACAATAAAAGGTGTTTGAAGCCTGGCCACTGAGGGGGGTACTAAAAAGGTTGTGTCTCCCCCCCCTATCATATTGCTGCGGTTCCCAACCTGAAAAAAATTGACAGCAAGATATTTGGACTTGTTTGTAAGAAATTTTTAAACATGTTTACTTCAGTTGTTTTACTCTGTCTAAATTTCACCCAATCCAACGCTGTAATTCATCCGGGCCTACTGTTCCTTTTGGTCCCAGCCCCAGGATGAATTTTACATTTTGTTTGGGTGATTTGCAGTCTATCTTTCTTTTTTTTTGTCAAGGCAAGTACCAAGAAGAGCAAGGAATCCAATGGCATTGTATAAGGGCAGACAAGGGCCCCTCGACCCTCAGTAGGTAGACACTGTGCTTTCTATACGGGAATTTCAGTCTGCTTTCGTTTCTTTACTACAGTTCCCTACAATTCCCCTGCATGCATGGGTAAAGGGGATTCCAAATATTTTACGAGAAACCAAAAGTGTGGCCCCCCCATTACATTGAACATTAAAATTTTTTTACCCTTCTAAATTAGTTTCGTGCCAAAGAAAGGTTCATTTTCCCCTAGGTGAAATGATATTTTGTTGTTACTAACCTTTTGCTGCAGGACTCCATTTTCCAGTTTAAAACATTAGCAATATCTTGGGGGTCTTTACCTGACACAACAAGCACTGTCATCTGCATAAGTGGATTTGCACTTGACATGATAGGCATATATTGACATAACATAAGAAAAAAAGGGGGACCCAGAAACCCCTTTTGGGGAACCCACAGTTATCGGGGGGTTCTGTTTCTGTTTTGTTGATTTTGACTTTTTGTCTCCTGTTGTGGGGGAGGACTTAAACCATCTACAGAACCTATCCCGATGCTTGAAGTTTATTAAATAAATATTGTGGTTACATATCGAAGGCCTTTTGCATAAAAGGTTTCCCATACCTATGATTCCCCCTTTTGACATTTCAGTTTCAGGAAATCCATCAGATTAATAAGGGATGTGGGTTTTGAGTGGGATCTTCTAAAGCCCGTTTGATAGCTAGGAGAATTTTGTTGCTTTAAAGGGTACTTAACTATTGAGAAAAACAGCCCTCTCTAGAATTTTAGATATTATACGAGTATCTAACGGCCTATATTTGCTTACATCAACCTACTATTTTTTTTAAAAATAGAGTAACTCTGGCCCCCCTTGAACCCCTCCTACGGTATTAGTGGTTTTTGAAAATTTTTATTAGTGAGCAAATGGGGATTGAAGTTCAAAGCACCTTTTTTTAGGAACAGGGGGTTTATCAGGGCCTTGTTTTAGTTGGGTTCAACCTGCTTAGTTCTTT